CACTCCCCATGGATCCCGCTCCATTCCCATGGGATCCAGCTCCATTCCCATGGGATCCAGCTCCATCCCTATGGATTCAGCCCCTCTGGGATCCCGTGGATCCAGCTCCATCCCCATGGATCCAGCTCCATTCCCATGGATCCAGCTCCATTCCCATGGATCCAGCTCCATCCCCTGGGATCCAGCTCCATCCCCTGGGATCCAGCTCCATCCCCATGGGATCCAGCTCCATCCCCATGGATCCAGCTCCATCCCCATGGATCCAGCTCCATCCCCATGGATTCAGCTCCATTCCCATGGGATTCAGCTCCATTCCCATGGATCCAGCTCCATCCCCATGGATCCAGCTCCATCCCCATGGATCCAGCTCCATCCCCATGGATCCAGCTCCATCCCCATGGATCCAGCTCCATCCCCATGGATCCAGCTCCATCCCCATGGATCCAGCTCCATCCCCATGGATCCAGCTCCATCCCCATGGATCCAGCTCCATCCCCATGGATCCAGCTCCATCCCCATGGATCCAGCTCCATCCCCATGGATCCAGCTCCATCCCCATGGATCCAGCTCCATCCCCATGGATCCAGCTCCATCCCTATGGATTCAGCCCCTCTGGGATCCCGTGGGATCCAGCCCCATCCCCACGGATTTGGAACCCCCTGGAAATCCGGGATCACTCCAGCCTGGCACAATCCCTCTGGAATGTGGGACAACCCTTCCCCTCCCCCTCTCTGGGAGCACCAGGGGGGGGCTCCTCCCGCAATTCCCAGCTCTTCCCGAGCCCATTCCCGCTTTTCCAGGTGGGAGAATCCCGTTTCCACACGGATCGCTGGGTGCCCCCGACGCTGGACGAGCTCTACTTCCTGCGGCCCCCGGCCGAGCTGGACCGCGAGAAGTTCGGGCTGCAGAACTACGTCTGAAAATTCCCAAATTCCCAAATCCCTCCTGTCCTGGCCTTTGTCCCGTTCTTTTCCGGCTTTTTCCCAAATTTTCCTCCCTTTTTCCTGTCGCTTTCCGGGCTGTTCTCCCCGGCCCGAGCTCGTTCCAGCTCCTGGTCGTTAAGGATTGATAAATAAATGAGTTAATAAAGAAATCAGATCTTTTTTTGGGGGTTTGGGAAATGCTGCTGGGAATTGGGAAATCCTCTGGGAATTGGGAATTCCACTGGGAATTGGGAAATCCTCTGGGAATTGGGAAATCCTCTGGGAATTGGGAATTCCACTGGGAATTGGGAAATCCTCTGGGAATTGGGAATTCCACTGGGAATTGGGAAATCCCCTCTGGAAATTGGGAAAACCCCTGGAAATTGGGAACCCCCTCTGGAAATTGGGAAAACCCCTGGAAATTGGGAACTCCCTGGAAATTGGGAAAACCCCTGGAAATTGGGAAATCCCCTCTGGAAATTGGGAAAAACCCTGGAAATTGGGAACTTCGCCTTTAGGGTTGGGATCCCCCTTTGGGATTTGGGAACCACGTGGCTCCTGCACATCCTCCCCTCCCCCCTCCCTGGAATTCGGCAGCTCCCGGGGAATTTTCCTGGGAATGCGGGCTGGGAATCCGGGATGGAGGGAGGGGCCGCGTCCTTGTCCCGTTCCCCGCGTGTCCCCCGGTCCCAGGGGTGCGGATCCTTCTGGAAAAGCTCCGATTCGCGGGGCTCCAACAGCAGAATTCCCGGAGAATTCCCGGGGGTGGGAATCCCGGGCGGAATTCCCGGGAGCGGGGCCGGGCCAGGAGCGGGGCGGGGGCAGCGGAGCCGCCTCCCCCCGGGCGGCACCGCCGAGCACCGGGAGATCCCGGTCATTCCCGAGGGATCCCGGTCATTCCCTGGGAATCCGCTCCTACCGGGGGATCCCGGTCATTCCCTGGGAATCCGCTCCTACCGGGGGATCCCGGTCATTCCCGAGGGATCCCGGTCATTCCCTGGGAATCCGCTCCTACCGGG